CTGCCTGACTTCAGGAGTTTCAGCCCGAGGGCTTACTCCCTCCCTCCTGCCTCTGATGTTAAATATGCTGCTTAAGGATAAAAGAGAACAGATTTTTGCCAGAAGGAAGCAGAAAAAGCAAATGCCTTGAGGCATGCGGAAACGACTGCAAGGGTCAGGCAATCATTATGACTAAATTTTCCAGCCATGGAAACAAAAGCAAACCACAGGCTCTTGAGTTGGAACAGGCTTGAAGCACAGGAAACGGGATCTGCCACTGGGATCAGGTTTCAGGGAAACTAACTAGGATTTCGTGCATGCATGTGTATATGCGGGGTATGCAGGTCCTGTCGACAGCATGGCGGGGCAGAGAGTGTCGAGGTTTGAAGCGGTGCCCCAATGCTGAGTAGCTGTGTGATCCTGGGCAAGTCACCCCACTTCCCTGAGCCTCAGTTTCCTTGCCTGTAAAGTGAGGGCACGTCTTGTGATGCTCTTGTGAGGACGGAAGGAAGTGCCACACGGATGGTGCCCGCTATTCCCAGCAGCCTGCGTGGTCCATGCGGGCAGGTATTGGGTATGGAGAACCCAGGCTGGGGACACCTGCAGGGTGGCCGAGGGTCCTGCCTGGACCTCTGAGTCTCAGTTTTGGCTCTGCTACTGAGTGACCCTGGGCATGTTCCTTAACCGCTCAGTGCTCCAGTTTCCTCAACTACAAACGGGAACAGGGATGGCATCTATTTCCTAGGACGATTATAAGGCAGTGGTTCTCGGAGTGTTGTCCCCAGACCATGAGCTCCACATGGGAACTTTGTAGAAATGCAAACGCTTGGGCCCCACCCCAGACTCAAGAAATCAGAAACTCTGCGGATGGGGCCCAGCCATCTGTGTCGTGAAAAGCCGTCCGTGATTCTGATGCCAGGTGCTGTTGGAGACCCGCTGTGGGGAAGGACAGGTACTTGAGAGAGAACCTGCCACTTACTAGTCTCGCCTGTTACTGATCCCTGGGTTTGGGGGCACCTTCCACCTTTGATCCCCTTCTCCCTCCTTTTCTGCTTTAAATCCCCCCTTTACCAGCTCTACACCAGGCTTTCAAGGGTGGCCGTCGAGAATCAATTGACCACATCTATAGAAGTCTTTGAGCTTCCTGGAAGTAGTCGTCCAGAAGTGGGGAAGCAAATTAAAACTTTGTCTTTCTACCCACTCCCATCGACCTGTGACCCTAAGGGACCTACCCACCTTCCGAAGGGCAAACAGCTAGAGACGGAATCCCTGGTTCTAGAATCTTCTAGCACCTGCAAGCCCCAGCCCAAGTGGGTCTCCACCCTTAGCCTGTGGACCTCTCCCTGTACACCATAGTTCCTCATCATTGCATCCCCAGAACTGGACACATTCACTCATCAAACTTCTCTTGTTCCCCTACTATGTGCCAGGCCCTATTCTAGGTGCTGGGGTCAGAGCTGAACAAAACAAAGTTCCTGCCCTTGTGGACATGACATCCAACCCAGTGGGAGAGAGAGAAGCAAGCAATAAGTCAATAAATAAAATCGTCTCCAGTAGATGCTCTTTGACTTTGAATGAATGAATGAATGAATGAATGAAGCAGGCAGCACAGGGCATGTGCTTTGGATCTGGACAGACCTGAACTCAGATCTTGACCTTGTTTCTTCCTAGGCAAACTCTTAGCCTCTCTGAGACTCAGTGTCCTTATCTATAAAATGGGGATTAGTAATAGTGCCCTCAAAGAAGCTGGGAAGACTAAATGAGTAAAATGCTAAGCACAGTGCCTGGCACACAGAGGACTCCATGAAGTTAGATGTCATTGCTATCATTATTCAAGGTCACATAGCTGAGCCTAGATGCCAAACTGGTCCTCTGTCTAGAGGTGTATGCACTGGGGCACCTGGAGAGTCCCAGGGCTGGAAGGGACCCCAGTGATCAGCCAGTGACCTGACCCCTGATTTTAAAGAGGCACCTGAAGGTCAGAGAAGTTCTGTGACTTGTCCCAAGTCCTACCGGGAGTTGAAGGCATCCTCCAGCTGGTGGACAGGGCTCAGCCTCTTTGGCCTTTAGAGGGAGTGGGCAGCAAAGCAGAGAGTCTAAAATAGAAAATTCTGAGCCCACCATGGGCTTTTCTTCCCATCCCGCTGTTTATTAGGCACCGTCACACCCATCCTTCCTGTCGCCCTCCGGATAAAGTACTGTGTTTGGGGGCGGAAGCGGGGAGGGGGCCTGTCTGCATCTTCCCACCTCAAAAGCATGAGGTGTGGGCCCCCCTGCCTCGGGTGATCTGTTCTCATTGCCCATTTCATCTCTTGCCCCCCTGTTTTGTTCTGCCCTGATTTCCAGACGTTCACCAGGTTGGCCTGAGCCTGGACAGTGCTGGCAGACAGACCTGGGTTCGAATCCATGTCACCTTTGGGCACTGGAGCTGCTCTTTCTGCATCTGCATCTGTGTCCTCTGTCATCCTAAGGTCAAATGGGGTGACATGTGTGCACAGTCCAGCATCGGGCCGGGCGCACGTTACTCACCCTGGTAATAATTCTCTCTCCCCTCCCACCCTCAGCAAACCAACCTCCTTGCCCCTTTCTAAACATGCCCTAAACTTCCCAGCCTTAGTGCCTTTGTTGATTGATACCAAGGCGTTGCCTGGACCTCCCTCCACTTGCCCTCCTGGCCTGTGGCAGCCCGGCCCGTGGTCTCCAGATCCGCACAAGTGCCCACTGTCTCCCTCTCTGAAGAGCTCATCTGCACCTCCTGGCCTCTGCCTGGTATTACTGTGTGTTTGTGTATAAATCATAGAGCTGTAAACATCGTGCAGGTAGAATAGGAAGAGTGTTGCAGCCGCTGTTTACTGAGCAATTACTGTGCGCTGGGCACTGCACTTAACACTGCCATACATCGTGTCACGGAATCCTCACAAAATCCCAGTGAGCTATGTGTTGTGTTGTGATGCCCAGTTTATAGATGAGGGCTTTATAGTCAGGGCTCAGGGGCACCCGGCCAAGAAGTGGTGCCTCTGAGGGGTTGGGTCTAATTCCACTTTGCTTCCCCCACTGCCCAGCACAGGGTTGCTACTCAGTAGCAACCGTAAATGTCTGTTGGGTCTGATGGAAGAGTTGAGTTAGTGCTTTAAGATCTGAGTTGGGCAGTTAGGGAGGCAGGGAAGCAGGCCAGGATCTGGCCTGGTTGTCCTTCACCGTGTAGGTTGCTTCTGAGCTGTAGCATATTGGCTGCAAATAAAAACGGAAGGGAGGTCCAAAGGCCTGAGCTGGGGTCACGGGGGGAACCGAGCTCGGGGTGGAACTGTCCGATAAGTGACTTAGTGAGGATGGGGGTGTGGGAGAGACACACCTCTCACTGGAATCACCTAGACCAGCCACCCTTTTCCCTCCAGCGCCCTCTGCTCCACCTCCTTTAAAACCACCTCCCTCTTTCCCAGCCACAAGAAGGGCAGCTGGCATCAGAAGATCAGGCGGCTCATTGCATCTAACCTTTCTAGAGTTTCTCCATTCTCATTTCTGGCATAAAAATTTAATAAACCGTGCCCACGTTCACACTCCTTGTACATTTCCCAAGGCAGTTTTGTGTCTGCAGCTGCTTAATTTTCACAACAAGCCCAAGCAGGTCTTAGGATAAAACTGTGCACCCCGTTTGTCAGACACTGGAACCCAGGTATGGAGAGGTGATGGTCAAGGTCACAGCTGGTGAAGAGCAGAGAGCAAGCAGAGCATAGGGGGCTGGACTTCACACTCAAGCTACAGATATTTATTAAGTGTCTGCTTTGGGTTGGGTATGGGCTAGACACTGGGGATACAAGGATGAATGCAACCTAGCCCCTGTTAAAAAAGTAGTTAACAAACATGTCTACAGCAATTCTTCTGTGCCACTGTTCTACGCACGTCACACATTAACAAATGTAATCCTCTGACAATCCTATAAGAACAATCGTTATCCTCAGTTTAGAGATGAGAAAACTGAGGCCCAGAGTAGTTACTTGAATCGCCCCAAATCACACAGCTAGCAAGTGGCTGGGCTGGGATTTGAACCCAGACAGCACGGGCCCGGGGGCCGAGCACCCACACCTAGTTTTCTCTTAAATCGGCAGAAAGGACCATCACGAGGTCCAGCACTGATATGGCATAGAATATTGGACAGAGATATTCAGACCTGCTTCTAAATCCCCGCTCCCCCACGTATGTCCTAGCTCTTTGAACAGGCCAGGCACCTTCAACCTCACTTTGCCCATCTGCAAAATGGATATGATTCCCAAGGATGTTGTGATGCTAAGAAAGATAATGATGCTGGGATGTGAATGCTGGTTAGGTCTGAATGAAGGATGTGGGATGGTGGACCGCCAGCCCCTCGTCTGTCCTGAAAGCAAAGCTTGAAAAGCAAGGTCAGGCCAGGTGTTCCTTTTCCTAATTCCCAGCTCATCCCTGGCTGGCTGTTTTTTCCTGGCTCTCGTGCCATTCTGAAATGGTATATTTGGGTGAAGCCGAAACAGGTTTTGAGGCTAAGTTACAGGACACCCAGGACAAGATGCTGAGGAGGATAGGAGATAACGAATTTCCATCCCTGGAATCTGAGAATGTGAGAGTCAGTAGGTCCTGGGGGATCAGTTGGCCTCATTTCCTTGGGTTACAGATGGGAGACTGCCCAAAGTCATATAGCCAGTTTGGGCAAAGCTGGGACCAAAACTCAGGCAAAAGTACAGACAAAGTTCAGGAAAAATCCCAAATTCTCCTGGATTCCTTACACAGCAGGGAGGAAAAAAAATAATCTATTCCTTTTGGATTATTCAAATCTAGAAAACAATATACCAGTTTTTTTTTTTTTTTTTTGGCCTGGCTTACATGAGAGAGCTCTCAGACCTAATGGATTGGCTTTTTTCTTCTAATCTTGGGGAGTGGGGGACCCCACCCACTCCTTCTCCCCTTCCCACGGTGGAGGGACATAGCTCTGAGCTTTTAGCATCCAAACATCCTGAGATCCACCACGTGCCCAGGCCGTGGCTACTCACCATCGACCCCAATCTTGTCATCCCCATCCTTGTCTCCAGCAGCCAGCAGTGTCTTGACTTCCTTAGCAGATAGGTCTCTGGCATCTGGGGAGAAGGCTTTCAGAAAGGATCTGGAGGAGGAAAGGGAGAAAGTGGGGAGGGAGTCAGGCCAGGGTCGCCTTGCAGGAGCACCGTATGGATGGTGGGCTGGCATCTGAACAGGGGAAGCAGGCGGCTGGGACAGGGTGCGAGCAGCGAGCAGTCAGCACGCGTGCAGTTGTGCTGGGCCAGGTAGCCCCACCATGGCTGTGCTTCGTGGGTAGGCGGGCAGGTAAGAACAGGCTGGCCCCAGTGCAG